CATAAACTAATCATTTATATTTTCTTTGCCAAGGTTCACTGAATCTTTTAACCTACATTGACTACGAGAAAGTTAATTTTGCATATTAAAATAATATTCAAATTAGACTTTTAAAAGTTATAGTATGGGAAAAAATGAACACACGTAAGTTAAAATTAAGGTTGCAATAAGCAAATAACTTGGCAGCTTTTCTTAGCAGAAACATATATATATATGAGGCACATTTCTCTAAATTATTTAAGTTGGTATATTAAACCAATTTATATCTAATCCAGTGAAATTTATGGCACATATGTTCATTAGGAGAAAATAATTGATAAATTAAGAAACACTTCACTGTGAAAAATCTATTAATATTCCTAACTCATTCGATTTTTTTCTTTCACTTTTGAATTTTTATGAACTTATTTCTATGCCATAACAGTATAATATTGATAAGTGTAAAATACATACATTTGGCTTAAGTTAGATTCCCACTAGTCTCCCTAAGAAATAAAGGGTGCCAGATAGTCCACTATCTGCATTTATCTCTAAATTGATAATAACTAAAGGATTAAGAATTTTATGTAAACATCAAGAGAATGTGCTTAAAATAATTGAAACTTACTCTACGATAATCGAACTTAAGGTCTCAGAGAAATATGTTAGTTAGGATAAATGTATTTTGCTTTCCCATTAGCCTCTTTACCTTCTATTTTTCATCAGTTTGCTTTGCCCAATCAGGTTTTATTTACACCTTTTTAATAAGCTACAACAATTCTAACGACTGTTTCTTCTAACTTTATTTTTTAATTCACAAGAAAAATTGTATGTATTTACATACACAACATGATATTTGAAGTCTGTGTACATTGTGAAATGACTAACACTAGCTAACGTACGCATTACCTCACGTAATTACCATTTTTGTGGTAAGAACACTTTACGTCCACTCTTAGTATTTTTATGACTACCTCATATTACTAACTATAGTCACCATGTTGTACAGTAGATTTCAGTTCCTTCTAACTGAAATTTTGTGTCCTTTGGCCAACATCTCCCCAGCCCAACTTCCAACCACCCCAGGCCCTGATAACCACCATTCTATGGAGGCTTCTCAAAAAAATTAGAAATAAAACTACCTTATGATCCAGCAATCCCATTACTGGGTATATATCCAAAGAAAATGAAAACGGTATGTCGAAGCGGTATCTCCATTCCCCTACATTTGCAGTATTCATAGCTAATGTATGGAATCAACCTAAAGAATGTTTTCAATGACAAATAACCAGGAACACATTTTATTAATCTCATATGCTCCAACTTACTACGCAAGTTGACCTTGTATAAAAGTAACTTTACAAGAACATTAGCACTAAATAATTCCTAATATCTTGGAGACAATTTTCAAAACAATACATTTGTTTACTCATTCAAGATGTATTTACTGAGTTACTACTGTTCTATGCCAAGTGATGTTCTACATCCTAGACATGCAGCAAAAACCAAACTGAAAAAAAAAAAATTCTTGTAGATTTTCAAAGCAACTATAGTAGAGAGAAAAAGCATGTGCAGTCATGTCTTACTTAATGACAGGGACTTGTTGTGAGAAATGCATCATTAGGTATTTTGTCATTGGGTGAACATCATAGAGTGTATTTACACAAACCTAGATGATATAGGCTAACTACACATGTCAGTTAGATGGTATAGCCTATTGCTCCTAAGCTCCAAACCAGTACAACATGTTACTGCACTGAATACTGTAGACAATTGTAACACAATGGTATTGGTGTATTGAAACATAGTACAGTAAAAATATGGTATGCTAAGCTTATGAGACCATCATCATTAACTGAAATTTTATTATTTGGTGCATAGCTATGTTAGATAATGATCAGTACTATGAAGAAAAATATAGCATTACTTATAAATTAAGAAAACAGATCAATCTACTAAATATCAGGTCTTCCAAAAATTATTTTTTAAACCAATATAATAATTACTCCTGAGAATAGGTACAAGAATTTTTTTAATCATGATAAATCTTATCTCCTACCCCTCTTCATTCCTGCCTCCACCTCAATCCATTCTTCAAAGAGCGACTAAAGAAATTAGATCCTCCAGAGGCTTCTCATGACCCCCCTCACATAGACCCCTCAGCACAAACTGACCCATGCTCGCCTCCGGCTTCATCATCCTCCGTGTTTCTCTAAACTCACTATATTCAAGCCGTAGTAACTTTTTATTTTTTTAAATCTGTCAAACATATAAAGTTCCTTCCTGCCTTAGGTCTTCTCACACATATCGTTCCCATGTTGGGCTCAGTCCCCACCTCCCTCATCCCACCCCACCCCCAAACCCAGCTAACTCCTGCTCACTTTTTAATACCTAAGTGTGATTTCTGCATGGAAGCCAAGTCTCCATGAGGTTCCCCTGTTTACACTCTTCAAGAGTCTTTACCTATCCTTTGGGAACTTATTACTATTTAAATTATGTAAACACTTATGTTATACTCTGTGTATTTATCAAATACCCCTCCTTGGATTGCAAGTTCTGTGGGATGAGGTGAGAGGAGGCAGTTGTTTCTCTCCTTGGCCGGTGTACTTTCACTGCTTTGCACCCTGCCTGGCATAGACTAGGCATTTAGAAAATTGTTCCTGAGAGAATTAAAGAATAAATTTCATCAAAAGTGTCTTCAATTTACAACATGTAGTTTTATGCAACACTTGGCAAAGTGGGTTCTTGTGGGAGCTGGTAATATCCTTTAAACCATGGGACTGAGAAAATGATTCTAGTTGAATCTGTGTTATTTAATCTGTGTTTTTTTAATCTATGGGGCTCTTGCCCCAGACTCTGTTGGAAGGCTGCTGTGCTTGCTTGTAAGCTCATAGTCCCAATGACAGATGGTTTTTAATCTTTGCTATTTGGCTTCTAGAATGGGTATGTATTACTAACTCATGCATTTTCTCTAACGTGGAATCTGATTCTGGTGGCCATTCCCTCTGAGGAATAAGATACTTTCTGGAACTTGTAGCCATGGGAGAAAGGTTTCAAACACTTTCAGTGAGTTGAGGGGAAGCCACTTTACGCTTGGAATCATTGTTTAAAAAAATTTAATTATGAAAAATCACAAATGGGTAAAACCATTAAATAATCCCAGATACCAATAGCTCAGGGCATTATTGTTTAATCACCTCATGCTCGGTATTCTAAAGGACATACACATAGAAGGCAAACACACAGTGTTGGTGATGTTTTCTGTGTTTTTTAGAGTGAGAAATTAGAATTATTTTTGAGGATGGGAAGAATCTTTCCTCACTGACTAGCATATCCCAAATTTACACCATGACACTTACCAATTTATAAAAATATTTTATTTCCATATGTGTCACCCCTACTTTTTTAGAGGCAGGAACTTGTCTTTTCTCTTTTTTATCCCCATAACCTGGCCAAAAAGAAAAAAAAAAGTTTTAAATAGATGATTAATATTCATTAAACAAATCACAGGTAGTAAAGAAGTATCAAAAGCAACCTGAGCTGGAGTCAACTATTTCTTGTCTGTATCAGCCAGGCAAAATGTTGCTCAGAAGCCACTCAGGGAATAAAACTCTCTTGTGAAGAATCTGTTCCTTTAAACTAAGGACTTAAGTTTTCCCAAACCCTGTACATTCCCTTGTTTTTCTATATGGATTTATGCCAGAATGATTCCAATCCACTGGTTGGCAAAGAGAATGGTTTAATAACTGCAGAGGAAATATAAAATTCTATTCAGAATATAATAAAAGCTGTAGGAGATTATGTATTCATTTATCTTGTAGTAGGAAAATTCAGATCTTCATATAACAGAGTGTTGCCATGTCAGCTTCCTCTGGAGAGTTGAAAACTGAACTGTAAAGACAGCAGAATGATGTGATTTGTATTGGAGTCACTGGAATCGACAAAACCTAAATTTTTAAAAAAGGTATTTATTTCAGTTGACAAATGACATTTTATAAACTAGTGGTATACAATATGATTTTAATATATGTTCTACTATGCAAAGCCTCAATTCTTAATTGGTCTACAGGATTCAGCTGATAATGTGAATTCTGTCTACCTATGTTTTTATATCTGTGAAAGAATTATGCTACTTTATAACTCAGTTTTTTTGAGATTCCATATTCTAAAATTATTACTTTCAACCATCAAATATAAGACAGTAGAAATATGGGGCAAATTTTTTTGCAGTTTTATATCAAAAAAGTAGATAAATGCAATAGGGAGTGCATTAAAGAGAACAAAAAAAATTTTTTTAAAGAAAGAATGGGGAAAAAAGAAGAGAAAAAATGTAAAAGAAAGGAGAGAGGAAGGGAGCCCAAAGGGGCAAAGAAAGTGAGGAAGGAAGGGAATATTAAAGTATTTGATTGAGCTTCCCTACCACTCAAATGCTTTTGTATGTGCAGTATTTCAAAGTTCTTCCTAGGTAAATAGCAATGTCTTTCCTTTTTATTAGCACTGCTGCAGCTGCTGTTGCTCACAAAGAGATTCACAAATCAAAATAGACTCAGTTAGCTTTTCAATAATTCTGAAAAGGTAGGAGAACATTGCCAGAAAAGGATAGCACTCCAGTATCCTAACATGGAGTCTTGTTAGCAAAACAAAGTGTGAATTGCTTAGATAATTCCCTGCTGTTGGTAATTCCACTGGGTGCCTTCTGTGGCAGCACAGGCTATTTCTCCTCTATAGACCAATGCCATTGAGCAGGAGATGTCAGAATAATATGAAAAAGTTGCTCTTTTGAAATGTTTATTCTTCTAGTTTTTTTTAAATGTCAGCATGATTCATACCTATTGGTTCTTAGCCTCGAGCACCCAGCGCAACCAGGTATTGAGGAAGCTAGAGCAGGACGTGAATAATGAATGGGCTGAATAAGCAGAAGTCTATACTCAGTCAATAAGCAGAAGTCTATACCCAGTCAATGTGCAGAGTTGCAGGTTAGCATTTTCACAGATTCTTTCTATTATTCTCTCTCTCTCAAGGGAAAACAGGAAAACTAGCAAGAGAACTAGCAAGAGCTTGAACAAACGCCTGGACTCAGATTGGAAGACTACTCATTTGTCTACTCCCTCATTCCTGGAAATCGCACTGAAACCGTCTGATTAAGGTATTTGGAAAAAACAAATTTCTGACACATTTCGTTGATGATCAGCCTCCGTTATCCATCCATATCTTTTTATATGTGGCGGTGGGGCAGGGGGGCTAGTATTTGTGCTGAAGATTGAAGAACTGTATCTCTTTAAAAGTTTTTGTGATATTAAGGGGAAATTAGTATTTGTCACATCTTCTAAAATTATTACTATTATTAATGTTTTTGAAATGCTAGTTTCACTGGTGGCACACTGGCTCCTTGTATAACATGTTTGCTTTCTCCCACTGTCATTTTTTACTCTATCAAATCCAAAGCTGTCATGGTTCATTATCTGTAGATGATCTTGAGCAGCCTTGCATTCTAAAAGAATATGCCATGGCATCTGCCTCTGTGCTTTTGTGACCTGCTGCAGAGATGATATTTTAGCACGAGTCTTGGGTGAGGGGCTAGAGGGGAGAGCAGAATTTGTCTCAGACTGATGTTTCTTTGTACCATGCTGTGTCTCATTCTTTCCTATATGGCTAATTCAACAGTGAAGTACATATATCACACTGTGACTATTACATATGTTAGAGTATATAATTGGGGTTGTAAAGTATCTGTCTGAATGTCTTCACTAATGAATTCCGTCAAATTCAATTATCATTCTTAGATTCTTCATTAACCAATCAAATTACTCCTTTGGTCTAAGTCATTTCTAACACACTTTTATTAGACATACACACAATTCTATGAAGTAAATGTGAGGTGATTAGATTATCTCATGATCTTTATTTGGAGTCCTATGCTCCTGAAGTTTGGATTTCTAAAGAATAACCTTTCACATTACTTCCACTGTATACAGGAGAAATAATGCTACAGTGTGAAGCTCTAAGACTCTATTTTACTACTTATATCTTAGAATTTCTTTTTCCTGAGGAAGTTTGCTACAGTGGATCACCAATACAAAAATACATAGAAACATACCGACTATATATTCCTATTAAATTAACCTACTTATTAAATAGATGTATCTATAGGCTTATACTATACTGAATCATAATGTTCTTCACCTTTTAGGAATAAATTATTTCAGTACTAGAACTTTCTCCTATCTCTTACAGTAAGATACCACAGCATAGGATCACAGTTGTTATTGTGGAAACATTTTTTTCAAATTATCACTATTTCTTTACATGGATTTCTTCTTAAACAAAGTGGTTCTGGAAATGCATATACCCAGTATTTATAGTACTTTAGTTTTCTAGGAAATAATTGCTACAGTACTAATTTACATTGGATATTTTAATCATTTTACAATGAAGGGCAGGTGCCTAATATCCTTGCAGTATGATTCTTACCATACAGATCTGAAAATATTTCCATTTTGTTTTCTTCTACATTAATGTCTTTTAGGAACATTTTCATCTTCTGTCCTACAACTATTTTGAGAAACATCTCAAAATGTGGTCTAAAACCAACCTATAAAAATATATGTTCTGGGTCCCATGCCAGACTTAAGTCAGAATCTTTGGGAGTAGGCCCTAGGACCAGCATTTAAAATATACATATTAGGTGATTATAATGTACTCCAATGTGTAATAACCACTGCTCTACAAAATGAGAGAAAGGAAACAACTGATAGAAAAGCATTGTAAAACTAGATGTATAACTGATAACAAAAATAAAAACACCAAAATCAAGTTAAATTTGGATTTTAAATTTTTCTACATGTTTTCATTACTTGCTGCACAAAGCATTCTAGGTTGTTTATTTTGCCTTTAATATCAGTCTTAAATATTTTAAATTAAAATTTTTAATATTTAGTGTTAATTAAGGATATGGATGTCTGTTATTTAAAAGCATTTTCCAAGTTGCCAAATAATGAATAATATTTATAATGGTAAAAGGTATTACATTTATAATTTGTGTAATTCATTCATATTTTCATATTTGAATCTTTAGTTTTACAAAGCTTTGTAAATAACAAGTCTATATTCAATATTTTATATGTATTTAAGTATATAATAAACACTCTATATTCAATATTTATATGTATTTAAGTATATAATAAACACTTTTTAAAGAATTTCAACATATCTTTTTGTTGTTATATACTTTACATATTAAAGTATATAATAAACACCACTTTTTAAAGAATTTCAACATATCTTTTTGTTGTTATATACTTTACATATTAAAGTATATAATAAACACCACTTTTTAAAGAATTTCAACCCATCTTTTTGTTATGGTTTCCATTTAAATGAATTACTTGAGTGTCTTACTTTCAGAAGATGCTTTATTAATACAACTAAATTGAATTCTTTGGGCTGAGATTTTTCCATTTTTTCATAAATGAATATTTCCATATTATCTAATCTTAATAAGAATATTTTCTCAGTATGACAAGTAAGGCATGTTTGCCAATTTAATATACCAAACTCTAAAGTAAGTATACACTCAAACGAGAGTTAGGGGACAAAGAACTGTCTTCTGAACCATGAAAAGACAGAATGTCATGATTACCTCAGGCACTGAAAGACAGCAAAAATCTACATTAGTTCTAGTAGAAAGACTACAGAGAATGTTTGACCCATAAAATTAATTTTTGCTTCCTACACAGCCGACTCCATGGAGACAAGGGCTAAAAAGTGACAATGGTCAAAATCTTAAGTTTGTAGGTTAACTTACTTTGTAAACTAAATATGTCCTGAAAAGACTGGAATAGTTTAAATTGTTTCTGCATTCATAAGAATCATTTTATATATCAAAAATTCTTTTGTTTTCATCTAGTTTTAAAGATTGTTTTTAGATTATGGACAGGCACTACTTTAATTCGGTTGTGTTTCAAAAGTTTCATTTAGAAGTTAAATATTTGGAACTCAAAACTTATTTTCAAATATAAAGAATGCTATAAATGACATTTCTTGCCCAGATTCAATTTTATGAAATCCACAACATTTTAGTAAAATTACAAAAGTTATAAAACTAGGAACTGAAGGGAAGAATCATTGAAAACAATACTATATGATCCTCAAAATTAAACCCATTAAACCAAAAATATTAAATTATATATTTCCTTTGAATATCAATGCTAAAGGAAAATAAATTTGCTTATAAATAAGTGAGAAATTAAAAGAGGGTAGGATACTTTTCTAAAACACAGAGAAACTGGGATGATAGCATGAGCAGTATTCCTCTGAGCAGGGGAGAGGGAGATGGAGGGGAGAGATGCTGGGTAGATTTAGATAATGAAAGGCAAAAGGATCTCAAGTATGAGTGGCCAACAGCATTGAACTAGCTATTAAATAGAAAATTTGCTCATAAATGGTATATTTATAATCCAGAAGAACAGGTGTATTCAATTTTTCTTTTCCTTTTGAGACAGAGTTTTGCTCACGTTGCCCAGGCTAGAGTGCAGTGGTGTGATCCTGGCTCACTGCAACCTCCACCTCCTGGGTTCAAATGATTCTCCTGCCTCAGCCTCCTGAGTAGCTGGGATTACAGGCATGAGCCACCACGCCCAGCTAATTTTGTACTTTTAGTAGAGATGGAGTTTATCCATGTTGGCCAGGCTGGTCAAAAACTCCTGACCTCAGGTGATCCACTGCCTCGACCTCCTAAAGTTCTGAGATTACAGGCGTGAGTCACCATGACTGGCCTTAATTCTTTTAAAATGAATAGATAACTATGCTGTTACACATCCATTTAGAAAGCAGCTGTGTAGAGGAAATGGTAAGGAGAGATAGTGAGCATGCATGCTAACTCAGTGGGTGCCGACTAATGGAGTGAAGGGACAGCCTTCCACCAACAGCTTTTTCTGAGTGGATTAACTCCTTACTCAAGGTTTTATTGAGCTCCACTTTCTAAGGAATTCTACCCTTCATTTCTTTCAAAAAATTCAGCATCAAGTGAACCAAATTTACCAATTTGCTGCCTTTGTGTGCACAGTTGTTCATTTAATTTATGAAATATTTATTGAATACCTACTATGTAGTCAACACTATGCAATTTTTGTTACCTTTAGCCCAGACATTAGGACACAAATAATATTTTGTTATATTTGAATTTTAGTATTTTGTGTTTTACCATTTCTCCTTTATTTTCTGTTTCTTAAATTTGGTTAGTTGAAGGGAACAGGTGGCATCCATGCCTAGGGATGGAGGGCTAGGAGTGTGGATAACCCAGAGAAGAAGGTGCAAAAAAAGGAGGTATCTGTCTTGTTCCTCTATTCTTCTGATTTTAAGGATGTCTTAGCAGTCCTAAGTAGAGCCCCTATCACTTCCATTTAACCTTAAAAACAATTTTTAGAGATGGAAAAAAAATAGAACTATTTGCTCATGATAAAAATTCTCCATTCAAAGTGAAGAAAAACTAATACATTCAAATTGAAGACCTGTAATATATAGCTCTTTTTGGGCTGATAGATCTCACTACTAGGCTAATCTGTGATTTAAGAAGCAAGAAGTTAGAAAGGCATCCTGGAAAAACTGCCCATAATTCTTCATCAACTGTAATTTTCAGTGAAATAAAAGTCTAAATCTCCATTACCAGTTAGTTTGAAGTACAGAAGGTCATCATGTAAGTTTCTAAAATCCCTTTTAACTCTAGAAATTCTACTGGAGAGATAGGTGAATAAGACTGGGAAAAAAGAGTGGTTCATCTTTTATTGAAGAAAGGTGTTTAGAGGAATTTTTCAGTATCAAGCCCTCATTTCCATTCCATTTTCAAGAAACAAGAGCAAAGGATGAGTTTTGGCAACATTCAAAGAAGTGTCTTAGGGCAGGAATGGTCAATGCCTGTGTTGAGTTACCTGAATCTCTATTTGGCACCTTCTGAAAGTTACTATAAAAACCTGGGCTTAAGAAGAGGATGATGGTAGTCTCACAGCCTTGTGTGAATTTTTCAAATGGTTTTGTTACCCCAAACCATAGAAGTGATAGCTCAAAATTTATAACTGATGCTATGTCATCAGTTGTACTCACATATAAACTTGCTTGATAATATTTCCTACACTTAAGTTTCCAATCAAT